TCTATCTATCTATCTATCTATCTATCTATCTATCTATCTATCTATCTGATATGTAAAGATATACCAATAAAACTGAGAAATAGCATGGCTAACCAAAGGCTGATGCAAGATTAAACATTTTTAAAAAGGCTGTATTGATCTCACCATTTTTAGCTTCAGGAATATTTTCCTTTGCTCACAGTGATGGTATGCACAGAAGAATGTCCATCAGTGCCACTTCAAAATTACGCTTGAGATATTTTTTATCGCTGCCTGGTTCTGCCAGAGAGTTATTCCACATATGCCTCTAATACTCTGGGTGGGAAATTTCATCCAAGTTAATATTCAGTGCAAAGTGTTAGTTTCCTTGGCTAATCAACTTTTTTGGAATAGGTTCTGTGTAAAGAACCAATTAGGAATTTAGTGATATTGGAACCGTTTGAAGTATTACAGTTGATTGGATTCTAATTGCCTTGAATTGGATTGTATCATTGAAGAAATTAGTTGTGATTTGACTTTTTGAAGTGTCTTTATTTGAAACAGCTAAAATAATCTGAACAGATCACATGCATCTGTTGATCCTGGCAGTTTCCTAAAGGTAATATCTTTACCAAAAACCTTTCAAAGCGTTACCAAAAATGTATGATTTGTTGTACACATTTATCTGTAAAGGCTACTTTTAAAAAAGCAACATAAATGAAAATCAAAACAAAATCAACCAAATTAGAATCAAGTGATAAAGTACTTTCAGTAGCTAATTGAAAACAGTTTTGAATGCTTTTCATGGCAGGATATGAGAGAGGTTACTATATTGGTCTATTAAGTGAGATTTGTTGGTGAAAGGGAGAGATGGAAATGGGTAAACAAAGAAAAAACGTTGAACAACTATATTTTTGGACAAAGTGGATATACTGCTGCCTTTGTCACACCTGGTTTCCATTGCTGAATACATCCACCTGTTGCTAATTCATCATTGGCACATCTGTATAATGCCTGAGATGTTCATGAAACTATTCATCAGAGAAAAAACTGCTGGAGATCAAAAGCTGGTGCAGGCTACTGTGACGATGCAGCTTCTGAAAAAGCAGCAGTGTTATAATGTGACGCTTAAAGAGTAGTCGTAGTATGAGACTGTATGTAATGGAGTTTTGTCATTTCGAACCAGTCCTGATAGTCCTCAGGCCATTCTCCAATAATAATAAAATTAAAAAATTAAAAAAACATGGAGTCTTTCTTTCAGTATTAAGTAATTATATTTGTATCCACTAAATCTCCATGCATGGGGTCTTCATTATCCTTACCAAAACGTAATTGAATCTAGTTATATGAACAAGCACTTTGACAGGTTTGTTGAATGGAAGCACAGAAATAGAATTGAAAAGACAGTACAGATTCTGTTAAAACCTGAACATTCAGTCAACACCAAATAAGTTAATTTCAGAAACCATTCATGTCTTATCCTCAAGACTAAAGAGAAGAGCTTAATGATGGCTTCTTTCACGGGAAAGGCTGATCATGCTTCAAATCAACCAAAATATCAACTATGTCAGGTAAGAATGTGTGCTGTATCTTCCTGCAAAAAGAGTGCAGTGAATATATTACATGGAAGTTTGTTTTGGCAAAAAAATAGACATCAATTTATGGTGCCTTAAGGCCTGGACAGAACTGGACAGGTCACTGCATGGCCACACACAGTTAAAATTTTACCCCTTTTAGTTCATGCACTTATCCTCTTTTTTTTGGGTTACCATGGTGACTTTCCACAGTTGTGTTATCGTTTGGCTACGTCTGCTGAGAAGTAACTCAGATGTTGAGGTGAAGCGAACAAACATGGGAGACCAAACTTGTGTCTGATAGATATCCAAAGCCGCCTGAAGCAGTCCTGCTAATAATTCTCATGTAGCTCATTGAAAAATATTTTCTGTGTCTACTAAAACCGTTTTGCAGTGTCTTTCCTCCATGGCACGCATGCTTCCCGGAGGTGGTGACTCTTATAAGTAATTGTATCCATATGTGCACCTCAATAAAAGTGTGACTTCTTGTTTTTGGGTGAAGCAGATTCAACCCTTAAAGCAGAAAATTGAAAGAGAAGAGTAACCTGCAAAGAATGTAATGCCTTTTTAATGGTATAATGGAGTCTCAGTGGGATTAGTTTCTTAAGAGTGACTTCCAATGTTTAAGTTTGCTTAATTGAATTTCAACAGATCAGCTACTGCAGAGAGACCAGTGGGATTATTTCTATATTCTCCCAGCGGATTGGCTTAGCTGTCAGTCAAATGTAAAGCTATCCAGATAAAGGAACTCCTTTTTCATTATTCATCACCCAGTGAAATTCCATTCCAGGTGTAGTTGTTTATTTCTACTTCTTCGAAGCACCCGTCTTATATCTCCTTTTTAAAAAACTTTTTTCTTGTCATCTACCTTTTTTTTTGTCTCATAACTCTTTTCGAATTTATAAGACTTTGTTATAGCAGACATGTTATATGTTTGTTATATGGACATGTTTTTATTTTCTCCAGACTCCAATGAGTAGTCTAATCTGTTCTGGGGGGGAATAATATGTCAGTAGGTCATCACTGAGGTGTTCATTACTCAACAAAAGTTACCAATGACAGCCTCACTAATGTTTTGTGGCTTCTATACACACTTATTTCTCTATAGCTTGTTTTGTTCTTTATATGTTCAAAAACACGTCGTAGGATAATATCAAGTTAAGCTATATTCTGTTAAAAAAAACTATATGTTTTCTTTATACATAAAATAATCCACCATGTTTTAGCTAATGTTGGGGAAACTCCAGCCGTACCAGGCTCATATGTAGCATAGAAAGTATAACTACTAGGACCGAGTCTAGGTTCTAGGTTCAGATGCGTGATTTATTCTACTACTCAGGAATAAGAGACCACAGAGCAGTGAATAAGTTTTAGGTGGCTCGTTTATAGTAACCATTTAGGGAAAATAACAAACAAACAAAAGAAAAACAGTAAATATATAGTTGTACCAAACACTGATATTTCCAACCACATACACAAAGAATTGTTTCAGTTTCCCTTCAACCAAAATTAACCCAAGATCTTGGGGAAATGAAGTGATTGACTTTTTATCTCTTTTGATTCAATAGAACAAGTACAGTATAGTACAATTTTGTACCTACACTTCTTATATTGGTCGTTTAGTTCCTGGTATCTCCTTTAAGTTTACTCAGTCTGAGTAATCACTCAAAGGAGGTCAGGTTGAAAAAGGAACAAATCAGGATCACGCGAATCAAGGAAGGCAAAAGACCATAAACAAAGTACCAAAATAATACTCACTTGGAGACGAGAACAAAAACTATGAATTACAAAATCCAAATCACTCTTATGAGGAATAAACAGGTTCAAGGCGCAAGGCAAGGATTGCTAAGTTACACATACTTGACTTCAATTGTCTAAGATTGAGGAGCACCGGACTGGCTGAAGTTCAGTGTGTACCCTACCTCTCGCCCATTGAATACGGGGATAGGCTTCAGCCCCCCGCGACCCAATTTGGGAATAAGCGGTTCAGAAAATGGATGGATGGATGGATGGGAGCAAATGTTAAATCAATGAGATAGGTCAACTGTTCATTTAAGCAGATTTTAGTAAAGGTTTTATCGGAAGTGTCCCAAAGCATCTCCCCTGTCCTGCCAGAAAGGACAATAAAAGCGTGAATGTCTTCCAAGTGCAAAGTAGCTACTTAATAAAAGCTACTGTATATCCAAGAAATAGAGAATCTGGGCTCATAGTTCACTCTGTTTGGCGGTTTAAGTGATATACAACATTCTTATGTATTACCGTACACATTATTATAACGTATACAAATCTAAACTCTCGATCATAGCTTAGATGTTGTGTACCACTGAAGACAGTCTTCACTGTCAGTGAATTTGATATTACTGTACTGTATTGTTTTTCCACAAAAAAATGTTCTTTTAAATGTGTCACATTTTACTCCTTTCAGTTTCCAGCGGCCTATGATTACAAGCCAAGAAAACAGTGTGTCACGACAACAGAAAACACAGTCTCACTGTAGAATGTGAGTGAACCTTTTTCAAAGTTCCAGAATTATTTATTATTTGCCTTTGAAATATATTAACTTTTCCCCTCATAGTTGTTTGAGTTTTTTTTCTAAACATTTTGTTTATTTGTTTTACTGCAAGTCTTTCTCTTAGTTTTTCCATTTTCAGCTCTTCACATCTGAGCCTGTCCTCACCCCAGAAGCAAATGCACAGGTAATTTGTTTTTAAATTACTACCGAAGTACAAAGAAGGCATATCACCTGCTAACAGTTGTTTTCAGTGCATTACCAGGTTATCTTGATTTTTTAAAAATCTTTGCAAGATTTCTGTTCCCAATTTCTACCAGAAAGAAACAAAGTTATGTAATCAATCAATCAATCAACCAATAAAAGAAACAGGGGGTGTCCCCTTAAAAAGAAGCCATTAGATCCAACCAATGATCACTTTCTAAATTGAAAGTGACTAAGCTTTATCGTCTGATCAGGGCAGTTTAAGGTTTTAAACTGCCATCTTGGAAACACCCCTGAAGTCCAAGCTTTATAGTGAATGGGTTATGGTTGAACCAACATACAACAAAACAAAACAAAAAACAA